GATATGGCATGGCTGTAAATAAACGTCAGAGTATCCTACAGTACCATTTTAATCTTGATAAATAATCTATCCTGTTGCAGTATGAGAATTTGGAAGGTAGTGTGGCAATATAGGTGTTATTCCTGTGCTGTATAGGAAGTTCATATATCCTGGAATTTTGGCAGGACAGTTAGGACATGGGGATGAATGCTGGCTCACTGAAAATTAATTCAGCAGGAACTGTAACCTTTCAGGTTCATGCAGATAATGTGCCATTGAGGGCTCATTGCATCAGTTTTTAAATTAAAAAAAAAAAAAAAAAAAACTGAAGAAATTGAGACTGGTAATCACAATGAAAAGGTCCTACTTGCTATCTACAAGCTTCCTTCCTACATAGTTTTTCATCAGGACAAGGTAGCACTTAAGATAGCGCCACATTTTTTTTTTTTTAATGAAGTTCCCCTCCTCTTTCCTTCAGAAGCAGGATGTATTTGCTACTTTCCTTGTCCTACCCCCAGTAACAACAAAGAAGCAAGATGGCATTGTTTGAATAGAACTAGAACTTTAAAAATTTATCTGGAAAGAACCCAGAAATTCAGATTGTCTGAGACACCTTTCATTTTATATGAAGGCGTTAAAAAAGGACATCTAGCCAAATCGACCTTGTTGAATTGGGACTAAACAACTAATTGGCAAAGTTTACTTCAGTAGTGAGAAGATAGTGTTGGCAGCGTTTAGGGTCCACTCAATATTAATGAGCTGCCTCTTGGACAAAGCAGATGCATCTCTGATAGCAATCTGTTAAAATGCCACTGTGTGCTACCTTCACACCTTTGCTGAGCACTGCAGGGTGAAGTCAAGACCTTGGCAGATGCAGTTTTTGGAGGAAATGGAGAAGCCCATTGTGGAGTGCTAATTCCATCCTATAGCAATCAGAATGCTACTTTGGGAGGTCCAAGAGTCTGGAATGGCATAGAGAATCAGAGAGAATGGAAATTACCCACTTGATCTGTTTTTCTTTTTAATCCTCCTGTTTATCAGTCCAGACCCCCTTCTTATTGAGACTAGCACCACTTTATATAGTTTCAAGTTTTTATCCAAATATTTTGAATTTCTAATAAAATGTTGGAAAGAAGTTATCATTAACTTTTGAAATGTCAAGTACACTTGATGAGCTGGGTACCCCTTTATATACAGACGATGACATTACTGGAACAGCGTGTATTACTGTCTTCTTTTGCTCGTAGTTATACCTAAGTGTCTGGAATAACAGAATTTAGAAGAAGGATAATTATTGGGTATAGAGAACTTCCCAAAAAGCTTGTTTATGGTACAAATGTACATTCCAGACTAAAATACTGCCTATGTGTTTGCACCTTCATAAATATTAGGAATGAGTAAGGTCTTGACGATTGTGAGCCAATTGGGGACAGTGCAGATCACAAATCCCAGGAGAATGATTCCAATCTTGATTGAAGAGATCCGGCTATGGAATGAACTTTCAGACTCTAGCATTCCTAGGAAACTGAAACCTCCCGCTGTTGGGGGGAGAAAAACAACAACAAAAACTTTCCACTATTGCAAGAATGACATTCACAATATTGACATGCCTTCTATGCAGATGGGTCCTCTCCCCTGGCCCCCCCATCAGAAACCAACCAACAGCAACAAAAAATACCCAACACAGTTTTGACTGACTGACAAAATTCTCGTGGTGTAGTTTTTAAAGTATTTGTATGTTCACTCCTGATGCACCTTTTTTTTCAGATGTCTGTGGTGATGTGTGTTAAAATGCTGAAATGCCTAGTTTGTAATAGAACAGAAGCACAACAGCAGAGATTTGTCTTTTTTTGGTTTCGTTTTTTAAATTTGCTTTTGTGCAGACCAGGGAGAAAATAATTGGCACACATTTTTAGGACAAATATAGCCACACCCATAAGAGGTCATAATGGAAATGTTCACATGTGAAACTGATACATATAACTATAAAATAGTTTTGATTTCTGCAGATTTCTACAGTCTTGTAAACCACTTGCAACCAATGTTCCCAGCTGTATTCTCAAATTACTGCAGAGCCATTTTCCTTGTGTATTGTTAATACAGAAGAAAGTAAAAGTATTTCAGAACAATAAAAAGTCCGTATTTTCAGCACTAAACATTTTAAATACGGAAAGACTTGCTTTTCCTCTGTGTTATTGCTTTGTTTTCCTGCTTCCCTTCATTATTTTTAGAAACTGAAAAATAACGTTTAAAACTTCTGGCATTAAATATTTTGAGGTATAAGATTTCTTTGAGTGTATATTTCATATATTTAATGTACAAAACATCTGAACACATCAAGGATGTATAGGTGTAGAAACTACATACAATATTAAAGCTATAAACTTCAATGTAGGGGAAAAAGAAATGTTAAAGTTAAGTATAATGCATACTTGAAAGGGGGCAGAGCTGAAGTTGTGCATTTATCCTGAACTTTGACACTTCCTAGTAACTGAGAGTTCAACAATGCAGCTATTACTTCTAAATATAGTGTTTGGTAAGGAGTTATTTAACATTTTTGGGACACCTGGTGGTAAGAACTTTTTAACTAAAATAGTATTGTTAATATTTTATTTGATATTATAAAGCAATGTAAAGACTTATGGTGCTTAAGAATCACAATTTCAGACATCAGATTACAAAGCCTACGTGGAGCAATACAAAGTATTTGGGAACAGTCTGAGTCTCATGAATGTTCTCTCTCCCCCGCTCCCCATTATTATTATTATTTTTTTTAATTTGTACTTACTAAAGCCTCAACTGGGCTTTATTGGTAACTATTGGGTTTAAATTGGAGCCAAATATACCAATTCCTTTTAGGTTGTGGGATTAAAAAGTACCCTAGAACTACACTCATTTCAAAGAGGATAGCAGGTCCTGGTGTAAATTGGTGCAGTTCTATGTCAGTCTTTGGCGCTACATCGGTTTACATCAGCTGAGGATCTGGCTTAGCATGTTTCGTGTTTCAGTCTTTGAGATATTGAGTTCAAACTCTTCTTTGTATTTTGCTGTATGTACTACCATAGTCTAAAATGTGTTATTTTTTGTGCTTCAGAATTGTGCAATCTGAGAATCAGATTTTCACTATGGAATTAAATGCTTGCCATTGAGACTTGACATACGATCTTGTGAATGCACAGCAATTGCTTTTACATCTTAACTATTGCTGCTTGAAAATAATTCATGTTATTCAGGGTTTCCCTATACTAAATTGAGGGAGAAATGTAAACACTGCTGTTATGTTAATATGGCAAAATTGTAAAAGATCTTTAATAGCCTTAAAATAAATATTAGTCAATGTATACTAGAGGTTGAATGGAGGCTAGTTATCCTTTCAGAACCTGATTCTCACTCTAGAAATTAAGTAGAGTCATGGAGGGCTGTATTAGCCCTCCACACTGGGGTTAGTTTAACCTATTTTGTATAGTAGCTTAAAAACAAAACCTCCCAAACCCTCCCCCTAAAATAATGGTTAATTTTCTGAGTTGGGTAGCGGAGCACTGTGAATTCAAGGCAGGCATCACAATGATCACATTTTTTTTTAATTAAAGAGCAATACCATGTTGTATTTAATAGCACTTGTAAAAATATTTGTTTTCTTCATTGTGTATAATAGCCTACTGGAAATATGTGACATTCAGTTTCTTACCAATTTTTTCCCCTCTGTCATTGGATTCCTCTGAAAAGGAGTTGATTTTTGTAATCTTCCTTCCTGGCTATATTTGTTCAGTTCAGGCGTAGTTAATACAGAAAGCTATCAGTGAGGTAGCTTATCTAGATTATGCTTCCATGGTGACCCTGATCTGTGGTTAAGAGGGCTAAGTATCTTTTGAACAAATGATCATATGAATGTCTCTTGAAATATTGACGGTGAACCACAGAACAGAAGTGTGTTCTTCATTGCTTTTTTATGATGTATAAAGATGACCTCAGAGGTGGTATTTAATCTTCATGCACACACTCTTACAAAGAAATTGGAAACATTTAGGTCATTTCAGTTTTTCCCTTAAATACTGGAGAACTAATTGAATAACCATCAGGCTGCATGTGGAATTTTCAAAAGCACCTACATAATTTAGAACACACGTTCTATTGACAGTGTAGCTGCGAGTTTCCCATACTACTTAGGATCTTACAGCAAAAAGAGGAAAGTCAAGATATTCGAAAGGGCTTGTTTTTTTTATTGTATTTTTGTGTGGTGAAGAGTTCTTTTGAGGTGGTCTTCGGCCGTCAAAGGAACAGTTAAGGGAATGATTAAAGCTCATTTTGCATCTATGCGAACACTGAAGTGTCATTTACACTAAGGCCTCTTTACACTTTCAGAGCAGTGTAAAGGGGCCTGGAAGTGGGTCTAGTAAAAATTGGCTCCCACTTTTTAAAGTTCCAGAGGTTTAATGGAAATGAGAACTTTGATGATAATTGAAAAAATCAGGATTGATTGCCTAGTTGTCAACCACTATTTGTCCTGGCCTTGAAGCAGGAAGGAGCATGTTCTTGATGGAAAGTCTGTGAATAAGAAGTTTGACTCCCACTGGTAGTACCAGTGCTCTGTCTGAAAGAGGGTGGGGGAAACAAAACTAACCCAGGACATTGCCCCCTGGTGTGTGTGTGTGTGTGTGTGTGTGTGTGTGTGTGTGTGTGTAGAAGAGAGAAG